AACACCACATTCTCACTCATAGGCGGGTGTTGAACAATGAGAACACATGGACACAGGGAGGGGGGCATAACACACTGGTGTCTGTTGGGAGGGGCCAAGGGAGGGACAGCGAGAGGATGGGTAGGTCGGGGAGAGATAACATGGGGAGAAATGCCGGATGTAGGTGACGGGGGTATGGAGGCAGCAAACCACATTGCTATGTATGTACCTATGCAGCAATCCTGCATGATCTGCACATGTACCCCAGAGCCTAAAGTACAATAAGAAAAAATCTCAACTCTTGTGGAGATACATTTATGCAGCCACATTGTATTACAATCAAAGAAAGTAAAAACAAAAACAAGTCAGGTTAAAAAAAGCATCACCTCCTCTCCACACACGTGCACCAAAATGGAGTAGAGCACGCTTCTTTGTGGCAATGTGGTGCTATTTTTACTTTCCCTATCATAGCCTGCTGCCTTCATATGGCAGGAAATGACAAGCCCCTGCTCACCACAGGTAAGAGACTTGACAAGTACCTAAAAATATGTTGAACAGGCACTGGCCACCAAAACCTGCTGTTGAGAAAAGATAATTTTTTATTAAATTTACCTGCTGGTTTGCTCACTTTTATTTTTTCCACAGGCTAATTGCTTAACCCCTACGTCATTATTCACTCAGAGAGTAAGGCTAGACTCCTAAACATTATTGGCCTTATGGAATTAATTAGGGCTAGAGTGAGGTTATATGTAAGTTAAGCATTAGCTTGCTATTTATTTATTTCTAACTGCCCTCCCTTAAATGTATGTTGTGAAAACCTAAACAGAGAAAGTATTTCTAAGCCATAACTGATGACTATAAATAAAAGAATTTTTAATAATATTATTTATAATGCTTGGTTGGTTTTGATGATTTTATTTCATTAGAGTGAAAACTAAGCAACTAGCCACTTCTTGAGATAGATTTAAATCAAGTTCAATGTATTTTTTGCCTGTTTCCTTTGTAAAATTTAAACAAGTGTTAGGGTAATGATGTTTACCTCTAAGCCATGGCTAACAGCTTGAGTTCAGATGCCCCTTCACTGTACCTACCAACATGAGTATGTATCGGGTGCAAAGAGATTAGAACATAACTCTGATAGTTTGGAAAGCCAGTTGTTTGTGTCAGTGACTCTGTCAGTGACAGTTTAATTACAAATATGCAAATTCTGGTTATTTTTATTTTAAGATGACCATTAGGTGGTTATGTACTTTCATTATTTGTTCTGTGATAGGCCTCTAGTCTACTTATCTACTTAACCATCTATTTATCTGTCATTTAGACAAGCTTTTCCAGATGGGATCAAGGAAGGTTAAAACAAATAGCTAGCAATCTTAGGTGGAAATTTATCTAAAACTGAGACACTTTTATTTCCCTGCCCTTCCTAATATTGGGAACATCACTGATGCCACAAATAGTGCCATGTTTCAACACTGACATATTCTTTAATTCCTCCCTTCTCTCTCCTCGGCCTTCTCTTTAGGCTTCTACTGAGTTTGTCTGATCTTCTCTATAATATTATTCTGATTTAACTTGTGTTTTACCTATTTTCTTGCTCTATTTACCTGAATTATTTAACTCTCAAAACCTCTGTAGGTACGCTATCATCATATTCTATATATCACACCAAGGTATACATCTTCATGAAATCTCTTTTGCCTGAAAGGATGAATAGTCATCTTCATTTGGAGCCTCTAAATCTGAGAAAAGTTACCCAAGAAACACATCCTACACACCACGCACACATAGTACTTTCTATACTTCATCAGTGAGTCGAACCATTCAGGATATGAGATTCCCCATAGTGATAAAGTTTCTTTTTAAAATAATAAATTTATCAAAAAGCAGAAATCCAAATGAATTTGTCTCTCCTAAGTTGTCACTTTGAAGGGCTACATGCATATTTCAGTTTTTGGAATTGTCTTTTAGAATTACACTCATAACATGCATCATGTTCTTTAGAATAATTTTACTGGTAACAAATCTTTGTTTTTTTACGGGTAGGTAAGTTATTAGAAACAATCAAAAGCCATTCATAGCCAGTCTGAACAGTGAAGTTAAAGATTAACTAGAAAAATGTCATTTTTACTCACAAGCATGGTATGGTCACACTGTTTAAAGACTCATTTTTCTTGATCAGCTCAAACCAATTCCAATGGCAATTTCAAAATGTATGAGAATATTTGGTGAAACATGGCGTCATTAAGATAAGCATATAGCCTTGTGAGTTCACCTTCAAAAATGACATTTATTTGAAAATATAAGTTGTAGTCTTTACTTAAATTAGTCATAGACAGAGTGAGAAGTCTTGAATTCTTGTTCTACCTCTGCAATTGAATGCCTGTGTGACCCTGAGAGTATTACTTAATTTCTCCAGGTCCCCATTTCTTCTCTAAAATAAGCATGTTAAGCCACATAACTTTTAAAGGGAACTTTAGATTTTGTCATTTTACTTCTGGGTTTTAAATGGCCTTTGTTCTCCACACCATATACATTTATTCATATGTATGGATATATAATATTACATAATATACAAATGTTTGATAAATAATAAGGCATCATTTATAGTAAGCAAGAAAAGCAGGGACTCTGGAGCCATTCTTACTGGATTCTAACACTGTCTCTGCCATCTCTTGGCTGTGACGCTTTGGGTAAGTTATTTAAACATTCCTGTGCCTCAGTTGCCTCATCTGTTAAGCGAGATGATAATAGTACCTACCTCTATGAATATTTAAGAAGTTAATACGTATAAAGATCTACAGTATGTACTATATAAATATATAAAATAAAATAAACAAATTCTTAGCATTTTATGCAGTGGAGACAACTGTATGCATACACAAATGTTGTGGCCAAAGACTGAATGCTAACTAATGTATCCAGGAAAAAAATAATTCAATAAAGTTTCATGGATGTCTTTATGCATCTATGAATAAAAGTTTTGCTATTTTTGTATTTTTTGTTTCTTGGTAGTAGTAGTGGTTGGGTCTCTCTTTTACTCTCTGTCACTAGAAATCATACCTTGATTATGGATTTTCATGTCTATTAATAAATTAAAATGCACTTGAATTTCCGCCCCCCCCAGTGAATTTGAATTTTGTATCATAAAAGGATTGCAAAGACGAACCGGCAATTCCACCTATTAATATCTCCAACAGAGATATAACACTTCATTTTAAACAATAAATGATTACTTTTTTCTATTTTTAATCGTTTTAATTTTTTGTGGGTACATAGTAGGCATACAAATTTGTTGGATGCATGAGATATTTTAATACAGGCATGCAATGTGAAATGAGCACATAATGGAGAATGGAGTTTCCATCCCATTGAGCATTTATTCTTCAACTTACAAACAATCCAGTTGCAGTTTTTACATTATTTTATAATGTACAATTAAGTTATTGACCATAATCACCCTGTTGTGCTATAAAATAGTAGGTCTTATTCATTCTTTTTAAGTGTATTTTTGTATTCATTAACTATTGACAATAGAAATATGCCACTGTCTGTGTAGGCTACCCTACATAACATGAATCACTAAAATATGAATGTCACAAACAATATACCTCAGACAGGTGCCTAATTCTTTATCCCTGTCTCACTGAGCTTTCAACTGTACTCATCCTGATTGCATCAGGGAGAAAGGCTCAAGTGGTCTTGAACAGAGGCTCTTTTCCCTTTTACGAGAAAGTCTCACTAGAAAGAAAGAATGGGGTGGCCTAAAACTTATAACAAAAAAAGAAAAAATATGGAGTGGCTTTAATTTGGCTTCCAGATAACCATAAATCTATATATTAGTTTGGTGCAAAAGTAATTGTGGGTTTTGTCATTACTTACATTAATTACAAAAACCACTATTATTTTTGCATCAAACTGATATTAAATACTTGGGTTAAACATGAAGGGGATATGTGCACTACAGGAGTTGTATTAGTTGTTAGAACTCTGACCTCCTGGTCAGAAGTACAACATAATGCTACAATGGTTGGGGTGTTTTTCCCCCATGTTTAAGTGAACTGTGTGTTTTGTTCATGATTTTTCAAACTAGGCTTAGACACTAGACATTTTCCCTTACAATGATTAGATATCAAGATTTGTGCTTGGGCAACACATTTCTTCTAAGAACAGGCATCCAGACAAAGAACCAAAAAGCAAACACAATAAATATTCCCTGCTCTGAAATCTGCATCTTTCAAATCTCCCCCTAACCTGATTCTTACCAATCAATGAATAGAAATTTGCCAAACATTCAAGTGATTCACCTACGCCTACTGTAATTTTTTCTTTGCCACAAACAGCATCTCCTTCCTCAACATATACATGTATTACCCTATTGTATGCATGTAGAGTAGTCAGTGTGTACTGGGCGAGATTATATTGTATAAAAGTTTAACATTGAAAGCATTTAATTAATCTGTGCATAGACTTACTTTCAAAATGGGAATAAAGGCTGGGTACCCTAGTTTCCCACATCCCCTTTTGAAGCCTAAAATGTAGGTCAGACCACCCATAAATATCAGAGCCAGGGATAGAGTTAGATGAGTGAGGCACTTTCCTTGGACAAAATTTAAGGAGTTGAAAAACAACTCAGTAATGAAGAGAAATAATATTTCAATGCAGTGTTTTTTAAATTGAAATGAAATATTCACAGTAAACAAAATGTCAAGATAGTAAATAAAGACAGGATCAGCATGACTCATTTTTTCTTTGTCTCAGGCAAAAAGGACTCAGCAGAGCACTATTGAAAACAATGTTACATTTTATCAAATACTTCAGAAAGTACAGCTTTTCATGTCCTGTAATATTGTGTATCTTGATTATTAGAATCATGCTATTGCTTCGTAATTTATCAAGCAGATCAGCAAATGTGCAACAGGTGGCTATCAAAGGCTCTCATTGTCTGTCCAGGACCCACAGGATTAAACAGTATTGTTTTTAGGAAAGAGGCCCAAATAGAAGCCAAGACCATATTTGACTACCTGCTGTTTTCTTCAGTGCTGTTGAAACTTCTTAATCAGAGCAATAGGGTCTCCAGAGGAAGCAGTGGAGAATCTGGCTTGATTAATTCATTCATGCCTTAAAAAACATAGAAAAGCAGTGGTCAGATGCAGCACGGAGAAGATGCTCAGAGAGGGCTGGAAAATTTCAAGAAGTGGATACTGAGATCCCAAAACCAATTACCACAGGATAAGGAGAGTATAGACAGTTACACTTAGCCATTAATGGTAGCAAAGCAGAGTGAGTGAGAATCCCTTTACCATCTGACAACTCTTTTTGACATGGCAGCTTTTGGAAAGAGTGAGAGAACGTAGGAATGTTGGTGGAAGGGTTTATGTGTCACTCTCTGGTCACAAGGAGCCCTTAGCTAGGGTTAACTATGTTAGAAAAATCCCACAGTCTCTAGTTAAATTCACAATACAGTTGAAGGGTAAAAACTGTCTTTTTCAGTTAGTATCTTTTCTAAACAATTGCCATGATCACAACTGTTTCATTGATTATTAAATACATATAGAGGGAGGACAGGGAATGACATACAAAGAATACATTTTTTACTTGGTAGAATGAATTAAAGGAACATAGAGGGGGACAGCCTTAGGTGGGTAACATGGTAGGATTACCTGAGATGCCAGATCATAAGTGTTTGCAAAGGATTCCACAAAGGGAAGAAGAAGGCAGGAAAGATAGAGGGAAGGCAACCAATGCAATATCTTCCACCTACACAAATTTGCTTCAAGCTAATCCTCTTAACACAATGATTTTTATCTAGAATGATAGCTTTTGGGGGAATCCTTTGAAAGAGGCTTGCATTCTAATGCCAGCTTCAGTTGAGTAATCTTGAACTACTTGTTTTGCTTCTCTCTCTCTTTTTATTTCTTCCTCATGTAAAATGAATAAAATAATAATGCCTACTCCTGGGGAACATGGTTAAGATTACATGAGATGTCATAAGTAAAAACCAGTAAGACAGGGCTTGGCGCATAAAAAGTGCTCAGTAAATACTATTTATTTTTTTCTTGTTTCCTCTAGCACCTAGTAAATAGGGTACTAGACACATTAAAACTCCATAATAAATCCTTTCAAAAAGACCTGATAAGGAAAAAATAATGATGAGGATTAAATACACAGTAACATTCTTTTTAAATTATTTTTGTCTTTGAGAGAGGATAACACAGTGGGAGAAACAGACCAAGTAGAAAAAGAGTAACCAAAAGGCATGTCCAGAAGCCCAATAATTCAAAGCAGTTTGTCATGGGAGCTAGGAGAGAAAACCTAAGCAATAAGTTACAAAGTGACAGTTATATTCCTTGCTGGTATGTTGTTTGTGAAGACAGAACCAGAACAACCCAAGCACCACTTTAGTGTGTCAGATATGTGAGGACAAACTAGAGTAATAGTCTGCAGGGACAGAGTTTAGTGAATGAGCAGGGTTATAGATTAATCATAAACACTAGCCAAATTTAGCTGACTAGAAGCAGATTCTATTGAAATAGTGAATATTCTTAGGCACTTTTAAATTTTTAATCATTTAATTTATTACGCTTTATGGACAGGAGTCAGGTAAGATATCAAAGAATGGATTTTGGTTTAAAGAGTCACTTCATCTTTTTTTTCCAGAATAGACATATACTTTAAAATTATTTTGCTTTACTTGCAAGCTTTTTCATCTCCCAAGACAGGTCATTTAGGCTGAGAGAAACAGAGTGTATGGAAAAAAGCACTAATCAGAGACATATGACACCGACTTTCTAGTCTTGGCCTTATCACTAACTAATGGTGTGACCTTGGGAATGTCCCTTCTATCTCTTAACCTCGGTATTTCATCTGTGGAATGAGAGAGTGACTAGATTATCTCTAAGGTTACTTTTAGCACTGACAAGTCTAGTAGAAAGTTTGATTAGGCAGATAGGCCCAATTCTTGATAAATATTAGAGGAGATGTGAAGAAACCCTGTGTTCTTCCTCCCCAGTGTATTATCCTTCAGGCCTGACTTAATCCTCATACCACAACTTTAATTGCCTGGGCCCCATATCCAAACCAAGACCCATAGTCTTAAGCAGACTTTTTTAGTTAGCACAGATTTGTTCCTCTCACAAACTACTCCCAATTAAAATGTCCCGTATAACCATGTTTCTACTTTTATGCTTAAAACCATTAACATGTGATAAGTGGATTTGAGCTAATGCTTTAATGAGTGAGAACTATAAGATAGTATCCAGGACCTTCACAGGGAGTGTTCAGGGTTTTCCTAGCAGCCCTTCTTAAATAAAAACATGGGGACTGTTGCAGGTCTAGACCAAAAGGAGCACAGTAGCATGAAAGACTAGTAGGAGAGGGGCTATAGTCAGCTTGAATCCCTCATGTCATACACTGGAGCCCTCTCAACAGCCGATGTATGGGGTAACTCAACAAGTTCAATCAGCAGATATTTACTGAGCACCTTGGTTAGCATGTCACATACATTGATAAGTTCAATGGTGATTTAGATAATGATTAATGAGCCTTATAATAATTTATCATTTTGTGGAAGACCTGATTCAGCATTTTAAATAAAAAATAGACTTTATTAATCTTGATCAAACCTTTGCTAATTTTGTATTAATCTCTTTGAATGCTTTGCTTTTACAAACAAGGTAACTGAGGCCCAAAGAAAGTAAATAAGACTCATCCTGAGTTATATAACAAGTTAATGGCTCAATCAGAACTAGAATGTAAGCATTAGTTTAAACGGCTTTTGTTCATTTCCTCACATTACACTTCCTCCTTCTATACATTGTATATTATGTGTGTAGCTATTTTTCTTTCCATCATGTGGCCAGACCATCTAAATGTAAGATTTATGTTGCTAAGAACTGTCAATTTTTACATCAAACACCCAGTGTGCAATCACCAGAAACAAGTTGTCCCCCCCCCCTTTTTTTTACAGTGGTGTAGAAACCCATACTCTTAACTATGCGGAAAAAAACCACAACCTATTCCTGTCCGTTCCCCATATCTCTCTCTAACTCTATCTTATCCCAGACAGAAACACAGATAGTCTTTTTACATTGAGTTCATTCATTTCTGCCAGCATCCAAGACTGGAAGAAAGTGACTAAAATGAGAGAAATGTTATTTTTCCTCTTTGGCCCATTTCCTGCTTCTCCAGTTTGCTAAACTATCAAACTAGGACAAAAGAATGAAGTGATGAGACATGCAATACCTTGCTGTAAATCACATCATCATGCTTGATATCACAGAAGATTAAAAGAAATGAGACATGGTCCCTTCCCTGGAAAACCTGGCAGAAGTGAAACAAGAGAAAAAAAAAGAGATGTGTAAAATCAGTTATTAAATTGGGCAGGTCAAATGCTAAGCTCTATAGAAGGCTGCTATATATTTAGGGTAGAAACCCACAACAGACCTTAAAGTGGTTGGACTTCACCATACGGCATTTCTAAAAACAGTGATTCACTGATCCATAAAAGTTATGCCTCTCTTTTTCATTTATTCAGCTGCAAGCCTTAGAACTATTTTGCTCCTCATAAGCACTTCAAGCTTCAAGCTTAACCAAGCATAATGCTGACATGTGCCAAGGGAAATTTGTCAGGTGAAAGGCAAATGCAACTCAATGTTCCCAGTGTGATTTCAATCCAGTAGCACAAGGTATTTTGCCAATTGTACAGAGGAGCTCTGGCAAAAGAAATACAAAGTACCTGTTCAATATCTGCATGGTAATCCATACCCTTATGAGAGAAGTGTCCTCAATTATACCATTTTCAGAGATAGAGAAACTGAAAAATGAAAGAGCTTAGTATCTTGTTCAGGTTTATGTGTCTAGTCAGTCCCAAAGTAGCATGACTTCAAGCTTGTGATTGGTGCCTGCTGAAAGCATAATTTAGAACAGAGTTTAAGAATTGGTGTCCCAAGATTCTTCCTCTATTTCCTCTTGGATAGGGAGCACAGACAGAGGAGGTGAGTCTGTAGAGAGCAGGAGAATGTGGTGGGAAAAAAATTAGCATTATCAGCAGACAGGCTGGCCTAAGATTCTGTTATTGTGTTTTTGTTCTTTTAACTCAAGATTCGATAACTGACTGGATCAGATGGTTACCACACTGAGCTCCTAAACTTAAGTATGTGATTAGATTCCAGTTAATTCTCTCTGTAATGTAGGCATAGAGTATTCTCTGAACCAAGAACAGACATCCTATAACTCCAAGTCCTTGATCATAAGGAAAAAGCTTACTCACAAATATAAAAATAGCTCTATCCTCTTTTCTGATGGTTGATGTGTAAACTTGATTTTGTGCATGAAGGGTCCCATGTTTCCCCCAAATTCTAATGCCTTATAGCCAATATAGAATGCACTAGGAAGCCAGCAAAAAAGTTAACACATAAATTCATCTATGCTCCAGACCTGTTTAGGAGAGCCTCTGTGTACAATTTTCTGAGCCCTTTCCTTTTGTTGATTTTAACTTACATTTAAAACCACACATTTTGTTCTAATCTCTCAGAGCCTTATATCTGGAGTTCAGAACCTTTGCTCTTAAACCTTAGCATGTCATAGATTAGATTATGTATAAGAAAGCAAAAGTTCTAATATGATTTTCTTTTTACGTTACGTCAGCTTAAGTGTAGATGGATGGTGACTCTGTTCAAGGCAAAAAGTTCCTTGAAGTAACATACCTTCTTCCTAAATCTCTTTTGTATAATCAGATTTAATATGTGCTAGTTTATTCTCCTCAAGTAAATAAGCTCTAAGAGGGCAGAGGTTATATTTTGTAAAAATAGTAAACACATCATAAAGACTGGTTGATGATAACTAAAGCATTTAATTTTTGCTTTTTACAATTCTGTTTTATTCATTTTATTCCCTATTCCCCACTTCCTTATCCTTGTCCACCTAGCCTAAATCCAATTAAAGGACATTCTGTTTTGAAATGAGTTACATCTTGATTTCTTCTATTACCAACTCTCTTGATTCTCAAGTGGAAAGGGACAAGATAGTGAATTATAGCTTTATCTTATAGAGACAGCATAATATATGGAAAGAGCTTTCACAATCAACAGAACTGGGTTTAAAATTCAACCAAGAAAGATATGTTTATTGCATAGATTGTGGTGGTGGTTTCCCAGGTATATATTTATCTCCATACTTGCTAAGTTATATATATTAAATATACCCATCTTTTTGTGTGTTGATCATACAAAAAGTGGTGTTGAAAAAACAGTTGTATATCATTGGGAAAGTTATGTAATTTCTTGAACATTAGTTTCTCAATCTGTAAAATGGAGAAAATAAATCTACATTTATTTATTGCTTAAATAAATAAATAATGTACATTTATTGTTGTCAAAATGATGTAAGGCATCTTGCCCCATCCTTAGTATATTTTAAGCATACAATTTAAAAATATGTATTATTTTTGATGATAGAACACTAAATATAAAAGAGCAAATGGTAGATAAGTTCGAAAAACCTGCTAAGTCTTAGATCCTGAGTAGCTGCTTAGATGTTTTATAGCTTTTTCTAGAGTTATTACTACAAATATACTTGATTTAGAATAGAATATAAGCTCCACAGGGAGATAATTAACATATCAAGATGGTCTGAATCTGATGTTGACCCTTAGTTCATGGTGTGACTTTGGACCTGCTTTGCAACTCATGTATGGAGCTGTGAGAAGGCTCTGAGAACTAAAAGTAAGTCCAAAATCCAAAATCATATTAGAAAACTATTATTTTTCCTTTGCCAAAGAAACTAGACTGAACTCCCAGTGATGTGGGAATAGAACAAAGCCAAAGGCTCAGTATTACCCATGAAGAAAATAAAATCAGTATGCTTATGAGTGAGACTGAGCAAACCAAACCTAATTTTCATTCTAAAATAAATTATTACAATCTAAAAATCATTTGTCACCCAAGAAAAGGTTATATGAAATTAAATCTTTATTTTGAAAACAAATTTTTACATATGAAACCAAATCAATTCTATCTTTTCAACTAATGTGCTGAAATTTTGCAGAAAAATATAAAGAACTGATCACCACTTCTTAGAAGTATTTCATGGTATTTTACTTAATATGACAAGTGGGTTAATGCATGTAAATGTTAAATAGGTTAAATTTAAAATTTTCAAAGCAACATCATACAGTCTTTAGAGGGGAATATATTAGGGTGATTTACTATCAATTTTCATTTCTATTGTGTGTCCAAAATTTTTCCAATGAGTATCCAAGTGCATCACTAAATGAAAATTACGGGTAGAAGACTGCATCTGGATGTATTGTATTCAAGTAGCCCACATGCAGAGGTTTCATAGCATTTAAGGAGGGGCCAGCATGATTAACCATCATGCCCATATTCTTCAGATATTGATTTAACCTGTTGTTTTACTCTGGCCATTCATGTTTGGCCCAAGTCCCAGTCAAGGAATAACTTATAACCTGGAGTGATTAACTTTAATATTTTTTCTCTATTGGACTACGTCACAGAGGTTTTCAAATGTAATTATTCCCAGAGGTCAGCTAGTTTTAAATTTTCTGAGTAATTTTTCCCCTGGGAGAGACACAGACACAAAGATAATATTTCATAATGTAAAATTCTTAAAACTGTAACTTAGAACTAAAGCAGTCATTAACAAATAATTATACATCAAATATAATCCAGGTTACAGTCTTCTGAAAAGCAGCCCTTTTCTCTCTGCAAATTGCAGAATGTACTCAGAGTGTTTGCTTAACCAAATTTCATGCCAAAAAAACTGAAGGAGGTTTAATCTATTCTCCATGGTCAAAAGAGCCTTTCAGCAAGATGTCAGAGACAAACTGGGTATCCCTAAATCCAATATATGATCACTTACTCAGAATAACTTGGGCCCCAAATCTGCCTTCCCTAAATAATCCAAATGGATTATTTAGACCAGCCACTTTACAGTCTAGTGTGCTTTATTCATAGTCTGCTTCAGCTAGGTAGAATTTTCTTTTTAACCCAAATAAGCTTTTAGAAATCATAGCATTTCAGAGAGAAAGGCATTACCGTACCAGATTCCTTGAAATGCACTGTGACTTTTTTGGATACAAAACTCTTTTCTACAGTCAGTAGTTCTTCCTCAGAGACACTAATGCTAGGCCAAATTACTGAACTTTCCTACTGAGTTAGTTACAGGAAGTATTGCAACATTAGCACTACCTAGTTTTAACCCTAACTTTTTTAGAAGAGAGAGCAATCAACAGGTACATTTATAAGTAGAAGGTGTAAAAATAAAGGGAAAAAAAGGTAAAAATAAAAACAGATCCCAATCAAAACTGGACCAAAGAATACAGAAGCAGAACGCTATTGCCATAAGGATGTGGGAGAACAAGTTAAAGCAATATGTCTTTAGAAAATTAAATGAGTAAGTCTTTCTGTATCAAAATTACTAGGGGCCAGGAAACTACGGATTAAAATAAAATGCAAATTTAAAAAAATAGACTCTGTAGGGTTTTTCTTCTCATAATATACTTTGCTGATAGTATTTAATTGTAAAAACATATCTGAGAAATAATAAATCAGTCTATATTCTACATGTTATTCATTTTTCAGCACACCATTTGGTCTGACACTTCAAATGGAGTACATACCAAAAATAACACACTTTTAGTTTTAAATAAGTAAATTATAAGTCATCAGTATTACCTAAAAAAGATTAAATAATTTGAACAGTAAATTATTTCATCACTGTTATCCTATGCTTATATTGTAAGAATCATTTTATCATACAGAAATATGTCATTGGGGTCAAGTTCAGGGGCTCATGCCTGTAGTCCCAGCACTTTGAGAGGCCAAGGTCAGGAGATTGCTTAAGGCCAGGAGTTCCAGACGAGCCTGGGCAACATGGAGAAACCCTGTCTCCACAAAAAAGTACAAAAATTAGCCTTGTATGGTGGTATGTGACTACAGTCCCAGCTCCTTGGGAGGCTGAGGTAGGAGAGTCATCTGAGCCCGAGGAGATCAAGTTTGCAGTGAACTATATTCATGCCCACTGCATTTCAGTCTAGGTAACAGGGTGAGGCCCTGTCTCAAAAAAAAGTCATCAATGTATAAAAAATATCTGGTAACATGTGATTAGCTTATAAGAAATACTTGAATCTGATCTGCCAAGTAAAGCTGAAAAAACATTTAGCTAAATAATAATAACAATGTTAAGGTCTTTCATGTGTTTCTAAGAATGTAGAGAAAACCTTATTTTCTTCTCTAAGTAGTGTGACATTTTGCAAAAGCTTTTTGAAGAAGCAAATATATGTCAGGGAGTAGGATAGGAGTTGATGGGTTTTTTGACTTGGTGACAGATATTTGCATTTATTTTAGGTTTCCAGTGACATAAAATTATGCTATCCAAGATGCAACTGAGTCTGAATTGGCAGGCCTGCCTCCCACAGTGGGCACAAGTCATGCTTCTTCATGACTGATCCCGGTAATGGTTCAAATTGTAGTTTCCTCACTAGATATAACTAAATTTAGTGAACTTCTTGACCCATAACCAAGTTTTCAGAGTCTATACAGACTTGATTTGGGCTAATATCTTGCATATCTGATTATTTGTTAGGAACTCTGTCTGCATCTTGTTCCCTAGCTGCTGTTAATGCAGTTGTTGCTGCAAAGAAAAGTGATGCCTCTGGAGCATACTCTTTGTTTACCTTCCAAAGACTATACCAGAAGAACCCACTTTAATTTTCAAATATCAGATAGCACTTAGTTATATGACAAACAGTAATAGTCAATCCACTAATTACTGTATCCTTTTCAGGATTCACATACTACCACTACTGTACATATTTATCTTCCTCACACTCTAACCTTAGTTGACCGGCTGCATAGGCCTGTTTCTTTCAGACAGAAACCATAAAATCTTGACTCCTTTCTCAAATCTGGAATCTTCTAGACCTCAGGACCTACTAAATACTCTCTCTTGTCTAATAAATTGGCCATAATGTTGCTCTGACATTCAATACAGCACATAAGCATCCAATATATGTCCTGGTCTGTGTTAATCTTGTATTACAGCATGTAGTAACAATTTGCATTTTTTTTTATTAGCACAGTGGAAAAAACTCTTTCCTATTCTTGGAAGGAAACAGTGGTAAAGCCCAGAAACTCAAGGCCTGTTACAATATTAGGGCCCTTAGGAGAAGCCTGAAGTATGCCCTGGTATTGAGAGATTCTTGAATGCTCTCAACATGAAATCTTTTAGTGTTTTCCAATGAATAATGCATGCCTTTTAATCCACAAATCTTGATAGTCAGCAAGGAGAAATGAACAGAGCACTGGACAAGGTATGGAAAAGCCTGGATTCTACCTTTGTCTCTGTCACACACAGAGGTACTTGACCCAGTCACTTCACCTCTGTGAGTCTCAATTTTTCCAACTGCACAATGTATGCTATGAATCTACTTTATTCCCCAAAGTATAAAAATCTCAGCTGTTTGCCATTGCTCTGAAGTGACAAGAGTTGAATCTGTTTCTGATAATTTCTTATTCTCAGACTTGGGATCCAGAGACTGATTCTTCAGACCTATGGCATAGAAAGAAGACTTTAGGGGGATCAATGTCAAGGGCAGTGGAAGGGGGACTTTCTGTGCTCCCCTTTTATCAGGATTGGATAGAGATCAGGAAAAGGAGTTTACTTCCCTTTCTAGTTCTGTGTAGCTGATTGGTGCCAAAAGTATCTATGGGTAGAATGCAGAAGATATGCTTTTTTGTCCTCTTCATTTCAGTTACCTAGCACAAAGGGGGATCATGAAGTGCATTCATTCCTAGGGCTCCCCAGGTGAAATTCAGTGAGATGTTAGGATCAATTTATTACCCACTTTGTGTTTATTAATCTTTATAGTATTCAGCATCATATTAAACTGGCCCCAACAAAATAGATACACTAGGTGGTTCCTGTCTCATAAAAATATTATCACAAGCATATAGCAAAGCAGAGCAGTACATGTATTCACAAGTGCAAAGCACATGATCTGTAACTAAAAGTATACCCTCCTTGGATACAAACTTCTTGGCATATCCAAATGTTTGCCAGTGTGACTGGTATAATCTTACCCTGGGTGGAATAACTTTAATCCTCTCTATAAGTTCAATGTTTTTTTTGTTTTTATGCCTGATATGTACAGAAGCTAAAAGAAAAATAAAATACTTCTTGCTGAATGACCCCAAGCTCTCTAAAGCATATAGTTCTGCTTATTGAATAAAACTATAACTTTTTCTTTTATGGAAAATTTAGAGCAGTATAAAATAAAGTCCATATACATTACTGATGACAGTAGAGGAAGAAGCAGGAAAGTTATTTGAGATTTAATATTGGGTCATTTTGTACCACATCCCTCCTCATTTCCAACTCTCTGTCAAGCAGGAATTCATGACTTTGTTTCTTTTATTCTTTGAATGCAGCTCCTAGCAGTTACACATGATTGATAGTGTCATTATATGGTTTAAAGCCAAAAGGCACCATCCTAAACATTTTCTCTTGGAGCACAAAAAAGAAACAACAGGCAAACAAGGAAATAATTGCACTTACATTTTGTCAAAATAAGTCAATTTTGAGTATCAAGAAATGCAAATTAAATTTAAAATCATTTTAACCATTGTCGATTTTTTAATGTGCTGATTACTTACTATCATAGATAGAGCTTATCTATGAAAAACAGACCAACTATGCCTGTTATGTTTCTTATTTTCCCTTTCTTTCATTATAAACAAGTTTTCCTAAACGTGTTTAAAAACAGAATGTTTATATCTATCATTAATTGCAACAATTAACTTTTACAGTGAAAATAAGTAACTTACATAATCTTATAGGAACATGTATATATGTTAGCTAAGGTCCTGAAATACTATAGCTCTCATTTTTTAAATAATAGATCATTTTGAAAAGGACACAAAGTTAACCAGTTTAATTATGCAGAAGATAAAAATAGCACTCCCAAAGTGTAATAGCAACAAGTAGATAAAAATTATCTTGCATCTTCATGTAAGCAACTCTACTTAATACAAAACAGGTTAAATTACAAATGTTCATAGGAATGTTTTACTCAATATCAATTGAGCTAATCACATTACTAAAAATCTCTCCATGGCAAACTTATATTTTCTCAAGTTTAAAGTTGCCTCCCTCCTCTGGCAGCCCACCACACAATTATTTTTGTTTGTGCAAATACCAAAAAAAATAACATTTAAGGATGGTCCAAGTTCATTATATCCATAAATGTCCTTAGACTTGACAAGTTGTACAGATCTTGCATGAAGAGTCCAATTTTAGATATTAAGGGAAAAACGCAGATGAGAGCTAATGATGCATAAATAATTAGAACCTACCGTTTCAGTTTCTTTCTGTTTTCTTCAGAGATCTCCAAAGAATTCATGTGACGGCCACTCCAACAAGGATGCTGCTGATCTGTGCATCAATTTAGGCTCCCTGTTCTGAAAATGACCAATCCAATTCTCCTTCACTAGCAAAAGAATAAAAAAAAAGAAGGTGGAAGAAAAAGAGAAAGAAAAAGAAGAGAGGAAAGGAGAGGAAAAGAGAGGAAAGGAAAGGAAAGGAATGAAAGAAAGGAAAGGAAAGGAAAGGAAAGGAGAAAGGAAAGGAAAGGAAGGGAGGCAGGAGAGATGGAGGGAAGGAAGAAAATAAATAAAAGTAAAAATAATACAAAATAAAAGAAAGCCAAAAGGAAAATTATGAAAGTAAAAGGAAAAAAAAATTATCAGGAATATCTAACCGCTACCATGTTGAAAAACATAGTAGTAAGATGTCAGAGTGAATTATGCAAGCCACTCTCTATTTACACTGAACCTTTCCGTTATCCAGGGGGCAGCCAGCGTGCTCTTTTGCTTTCATTCTCTCCACCCCCCGCCCACCCCTGTTAATGATGCAGGGCTACACTACAGGCTGTATGTAGAGCCTGCAAAGCTTCACACTTAGGAAAATAAATTTTCCTTTCTATTTCTAGGGCCACAGTGCATTGTCTTCTGTGGTTGCACTCAGCTTTGAGTTCATGATAACACACAGCCTATTTGTCTATGGAGTCCTTCGCTGAAGCTGGGATCCCTCGAGTTGCTTCCATAGATAGTGGACCACTGCAACCTTAAGGCGATCCTTTCTCACAGCCTCTCAATGTGTTCAGTTACCAAAGTGAACATTCTCAAGAATGTTCCCTAGAAAGCTCCCAGTAGGTGAGGTCAAGGTGAGCATGATCTTTGCCTTGAGCATTCTTGAATACACAAACCTCTAAAATTCTGACATTGAATTAAATACACCACTCCTTAAGAGGAATTTGGAGCTACAATCCACTTTCCACTTCCGGTCTACCCATTTCCCATTGGCCTCAAGGTCCCTATTACCAAGAAGTGCAGGTAAAGCCCCCGTTTCCTCTCAAGTGGTTAGGCAGGATCCGATGAAAAGAAGTTGGTTTTCTGTAGCCCAGACCCCACTGCCACAGGCTCTTGAAGATTGTGTTCCAAGAAGCCCCAGAGTTATAGACCCTTGAGACCACTGCCACACTGTATTAGGCACCTAATGTCCCCCTCCCCCACTCTCCCAAAGGTAGATGAACAGGAAGCAGCTGGAGGTAATACCCATGACTTGGGTAATACCTCTAGATCAAAGTAAAGGGACTTTTCACATAGGCCATGGAAGAAAAAAATATATTATTGCAGGTTCAGCCTCGTGCCAAGACATACCTGTGTAGTATGTTATAGGGAATACCTGGAGGGCTCTTTACCTCAAAATATTGCCTCCACTATGCCTGAAACGCAAGTCCTGTAGGGGCAAGAATTCCTTTCTTTCTGAAGTCTTGATTTGAAAATTCTCATTCTCCTAGAAATATACTTATTTGAAAACCTTGGTGTGAATGAGTTTAGAACTGTAAAAGTAGGAATACATGTTGAGAACAGAATATAAAGGAAAATTGAAGAGATCCAAGGATAGGAAAACTGAACTGCTAAAAGCAAAATAACGATTTTGTCATAAGCTAGCTTTAGTGAGAATCGCCTTGAGCAACTGGAGAAAAATATAAGAGAGAAAAGAGGTTTTGGTGTTTTTGTTTTGTTTTTAAAGACAAATTCTTGCTCTGTCATTCAGGCTGGAGTGCAATGGCCCAATCTTGTCTCACCGCAACCTCTGCCTCCTGGGCTCAAGCAATTCTCATGCCTCAGCCATCTGAGTAGCTTGGGGTTACAGACATACGTCATCACATCCAGCTAATTTTTGTATTTTTAGTAGAGATGGGTTTTTACCATGTTGACCAGGCTGGTATTGAACTCCTGGCCTCAAGTGATCCACCCGCCTTAGCCTCCCAAAGGGCTGAGATTATGAGCATGAGCCACTGAGCCCAACCAAAGAGTAAACTAACCTAAATGTGTATTAGACCAGACATATTGACAACAGACAGAAATATATTGCACTGGCATTTTCTTTTGATTCTGTGTTTTGGGGTCTGGCAGATGATGTGGATAATATTATGCTTCTTTGTTTAGAGAAATATTTTTTCTTCTTGCTTGAGTGTGTCTAGAGTTCATTGTGATGCTCTCTTTCCTCACACAGTCTCAGCTTCATTCAGCAAACATATACTGAATAACTCCTAATGGTAGAGCAGTGGATTAAATGCAACTGAGGAGGTAAGAATAAAGGGCAGAGTGGCAGAGGCCTGATGGCAAAGGAAAGGATGCCATGTCCCAGCAACTCTTTAAAATCCAATTAAACAGATAAGACATATATATATGGCAATAATATATATAATGCAAATATATATAATGAAATTGCCCCAAATATAAGGCAACATGAATGTAATAAGGGCCCAAGAATGTCATATCTAGTGCTGTAAGGTTTCAAAGAAGGCAAGGATCTCAGAGAGCTAGAGTAATGGATACAATACTATTATAGACGTCAGGCAAGTCTTCCAGGAGGCAAAGGGTTTGGGTTGGGCCTATTAAGAACCACAAGATTTTAGTAAGTAAAGAATAGAAATATTACTTGGATTTCTGAAAACCCATAGCTCTTGCCACTTTTTACTGGCTCACTTTCCACCTACCTGCTTCCACCAAATAAGCTTTGGATGTAGGCATGTCTTTCTCCTTTTGTAGAACAAACATCTTTGGAATTTTCAGCTAGAAAATTCCAAAGATGTTTGTTCTAGATGTTTGACTAGAACCAAAGAAAACAATCCTATAGGAACTTCTGAACTTTCACTCCCAATTGGTCCAATAATAGCATATCAGAGCTGAAGGGGATATGAGTGATGGTATAGTCTAAGCTCTCATGTTAAAGATGAAGAAAGTAAGAAAGAAGGAATCTGGTTTAAGTCTCACAGTTAACTAATGATAAAGTTTGGATCTGAAACATGGTTTTTTGACTCTTAAGACAATGTTTTTACCAAAATAATTTCCGTCTGGCCAATGTCTCATGGCACCTATTAAATAGGTGATTTATTTGTAGTTACATTATCTGTAGCAAGGGTTTCTCTTGTTTAGTTACAGAGGCGAGGTCAAATATTAAATGGACTCAAAACTACACTTCATGGCTCTGCCTATATATACATACATATATATATATGATCTAGAAAAAGAAAAAAGAAAAAGGTCAAGCCTTCTTAAATTAAGAATAGAGACCCAGATCATGCTTTTATTCTTTCCCTTAGAGCAACTCTGAAATATAAAATATATTAAAGTGGAAGCAAAGTAAAAGTTTTAGCTCTTAATATAGATTTGAGGAGATAATTTCCTTTATAATGAATGTTTCATTATTATTTAATGTTTACCTTGTGACTCTAAAATTACTAGGTCTCAGGTTGGCTTCTTTGTCATACTGTAAATAAAAGATTACATGGAACAGTATAGATTATGATTAATGTAGTTTTTCTAAATGTATTCATACCATCAGGCCTATGGTTTTAAATACAAGGAATCCTCACATTCCAATGATTTTTAATATTTTTAATAGTTATGATTTAATCGTGACTAAAATTTGTTTAGTATTCTATAATATGTAAAGTGCTTTATGTCTGGCCATGCACTTGCACGGAATTAACTCATCAACATCAATAAAATATAAAGTGCTAAAATTAGAAGATTAAAAGACATTTTCAAACTCAGTTATTCAAATTATTTTGGGGTGGGAGTTATGAGTTAGAGTATTAATATTATTAATTCCTTGTTTAAGTAAAATATTTTTTGTGGATGCCAAAGGTATTTGATGGCCTGACAGTTGGCAATGTGCCAGGCTTTGTGTTTTATATGAATGGTTTTACAATCATTATTTTATTTATTCATCAAAACAACTCTATATTTTAGGTATACTGTTGATCTCATTGTATAGTCAAAAAAACAGGCTCAGAGATATTAAGTAATTTTCCCCAAGTTACACTGCTTTGATAGACAATAAAATGCTCAGTATGGATTTGGTGTTTTGAAATTAAGGTGTTTTCAAGCCAAAGAATGTTACTGCCAATTCTCAGGTTATAATGGTACCTTCGGTAAAGTATAATACTGCAACTGAATTTTATTAATCATTATTTTTTTAAATCAGAAAATAAAAGAACTTATTAATATAAATTCAGGGAATACACAGCACTAATGGAAAAATCCCCAGTCTTGGGGTGATGGTGTTATGGCAACATTAGGGAGATCCTGTATTTCTCAGTACCACAATTTCAAGCAGTTATAGGGTCGACCACTTGCTAAACTCCTTCCTACCTTGCCAGAGTTTTCTGTTCTATCTGCTACCAGTATGTTTTGTTTGTCCTCGGGGGATAGTCTCTGAACTGATTATGGAAAATGGTGGGAAATAGAATTCATTTTGCAGAAATATACTGAGTCTAGGAACAAAGTGAAGGGGAATGGGTGGAAAGTTGTTTCTATACAAGATCAATCCTCCAGTGTCAAATGCAAAATGCCACTTTACTCAAGATCATGATTCTTTGCAAAACCAATGTAGTAAATTTTAACTTGTTAATTGAATTTCTATTCTTTAGGCATAAGATAAAGAAAGAAATAAATGGTTCAAAATGTAGTGCCCAAAATAAAACTTAATGATGTGACTGTATGTTAGGGCAAGTTTGCAGCCTGAAAGGAACCTAATTTGTTATTGGAAAAATGTCCAGAATACATTGTACTAAAAATTATAGTTTGGATGTGAATAAACACTGGATTTTCCAATCAAACGTAGTACTCAGGGAAATCGAGCAAAGGAGTGTTGTTTGGATTTACATACTAAGACAAGAATCCAAACCAGGAGTGGTTTTATTTTTATTGATTTTTTTAAGTTCTTACAATTAGCAACAAGCAGAACTTGGTGACAGGAGATTCAGCTAGGGCCCACAAAAGTCACTTTATATAGCCTGCATTCATGTATGCACATGTGGGCAAAGCCCTATAGAGAAAGAAACACTCTTATGAATAGACAGAGCGGAAGGTCACCTATCACACACAATAAAATATTCATTGAACGTATTATAATGCACAAAAACCCACTCACATACCTGCCACTGGTTTGAAAAACTAATATTTCAAGGGTGTTCTTATTGGCTATTCCCCCTCTGTGCCCTTTTTGCAGAAGCAAACTCTATTGGGAAGGGTAAATGCGTAGCCTCAAATTCCTTATTAGGGTTTTATTTTACTAGGAATTAGTGTAATCTTATCAGGTAAATCTACTCTCAGTAGAGACCCTGTCAATTTCAGTACAATTAACAAGAAAGGAATACTAAAGATAAATGAGAAGAATATGGGGAAGTATTTACCACACAACTTTGCCTTAAGCCAAACCTGCTGGCCACATTAGAGACTTGTGGAATATTGGAAGTAAAAGGGTTCTTAGACATCTTACTGGGCATAGGTTTTTCTCTGGTGAGTCTTGCATAGAATTCAGATGGTCCTTGAATCCCTGAAAGCATTTATGAAATCTGTTCGCACTCTTATGTGCATTTTTCTTAAGAGAAAGTTCATAGTTTTAATCAGATTCTTAAAGGAGTCTGGGACCAAAAACATGCTAAGAATCACTGGACTAATGAACATTGCTACGTCAGACACTCTGCTATCAGGAAGTGCAACCTGGCAGGAAGGGCCCAGCATAAGGGTTTTCAGATAGTAATCCCCCAAATGGTTACAAACCACTTATCTGTCCAACTTCCTCATTTTATAGGTGATGAAATCGAAGCCCAGAGGGTTACAAACCTTGCCCAAATATGGTATAATCAGAGTTAGTTCAGTGTTAATTATTTTGAGAGA